AGGAATGAATGGATTTGACAGACAGCAGCTTGTGACAACAGAAATCCAATGGCCTAATGGAATTGCTCTAGGTATGTTGAACTTGTCTCTGTGCCAGAGGTATTCTGGAGCTTGTAGCAAACAAATTGCTAAAAAGCCAAGGTCATTCTTCAGAGAACTATTTTCAGCTTCTGAGAATGGGAAGTTCCTGCATGCCTGGAGACACTGCAGCAGGCACAGATAGCACTTCTCAGATACTGAAATGGTAACTTCCCTTGCACTGCTCTGTTATAGTTGAGGTACAGGCTACTTAGGCAGCACTGCAGCAGCCTTCTGCATCCCAGTATGGTAAAAAAGCAGGGCAACACTGCAACTATTCTCGAACCTTTGGGTGTTTCAACTTTGGCAGGAGGCTTTGGGGGTTTTCTCCATGTAGATAGTAAATACGTTTGGGTTTTTTTTTCCTAGATCTTGTAAAAAGCCGTCTCTACTGGCTTGATTCTAAACTACATATGCTGTCAAGTGTGGACTTGAATGGCCAGGACCGTAGAGTTGTACTGAAGTCTCATATGTTCCTTCCTCATCCTCTTGCTCTAACAATATTTGAGGTAAGAAGGACTTCCCTGCAGTAATTTTCCAAGATCCTCTTCTTGCTAGTATGTGGCTAGCAGTTACGGTGCTGATAGCAGCATAGAGGTAACGAAATGCAATGACTGTCTTCTAGGACCGTGTGTACTGGATTGATGGAGAGAATGAGGCAGTCTATGGTGCCAACAAATTTACTGGATCTGAACTGGTAACCCTAGTGAACAACCTCAATGATGCACAGGACATCATTGTGTATCATGAACTTGTTCAGCCTTCAGGTAACTCTATTACAGTTTATAGTTATGTCAGTGTATACTTGTAAGATGCCTGCTCTGCTTGGGTGGTGGCAAAAGGTATCCCTCCGCTGTCCACTTCTACTTAAAGTGCTTGGAGCTTCTAACATAGGCATCCCCACTGGGGTTGAGAGAAGGTCTGGTTGCAATTACTTTCTTAGGCAGAGCAGGTACAAATCTATAACCTGCAGAGACAAGTAACTCTACTAGAACAATTATTGAGCAAATAATTATGCTATACACATGGAATATGAAGACTCACTGGTGTCAATTGCTGTACCATCAGGCAGGAACTGGTGTGAAGAGAACATGGCAAATGGAGGCTGTAGCTACCTGTGCCTGCCTGCTCCTCAGATAAATGAACACTCTCCAAAGTACACCTGTGCATGTCCCGTTGGATACTTCTTGCAGGAGGATGGTCTGAGGTGTGCAGGTATGGTAACATGATTGAAATCTTTTCCAGGATGGATGATGAAGGAGCAGGGGTACTGAGCCTGTTGGAGGCAAACGTGGCAGTATAGGCTGACAGCTTTGCATGAATTAATTTGATGTAATTAATCTTGGAGGGGGTGGTCTTCTAGCATGCATTAAGCTGGCCTTCAAAGTCTGCAGCTGCTGTTCAAAGTCCATGCTTGGCTTCTGCATCATCATCATTTGCAACAAGATCTTGTACCTCCATGGCTTTCTGCAGACAGCAAGCACATACACAGAACATACTGAGCCCCTTTCTTATAAAAGAAGGCGTATAAACTAACATGGCTTTACAGTGTATAAATACACAGTGTTGAAAAGCTGCTAGGCTAATCTTGCTGGCCAAGGAAGTTTGTTTGGACCTCCCTTTGTGGTCCAAACAAACATGCTGCTGTTACTACCCTGAGCACTGACTATATGGCAGGCTTGTTTGTCCAGTGGAGGGGAACTGGAAACTCCAGAGTGCAACTGACTATATTGCATGTTGATTCTGACTGCCACAGTTAGAGTACTGAATGTAAGGATGCTGTCCTCAGTTGGCTGCTCTAAAGGGTTGCTATAGGCATCAAAGACTGTACCTAACTGGTAAACTTGTGGAACTAAAACCTTACTTGGAAAACCTGAAGTGAGGGATGGGGTGGCTTACTGTTGTCATGACTCTAAATACCTGTAATTTGTGCCTAATTAACTGTCTAGCCTTGTCCTTGGGATTATTTTTGATCAAAACCCCTCAGCTGAGAGTGTGCTAGTGAAATAACTAATGTCAGTGTTTCCAGTAAAGCTAACAGGCTGCATGATCATTCTGCCATCTGCTAAACATCCACTACCATGGCTCTCATAGCTAAGCCATTGCAGAACTTCAGGATTAACTGGGTTCTTGATCTATAATTAGTTTCAGGTACTGGAACAACTGTGGCTTACACTGAGGCTAAAGATACCAGCACAAGAGAAAAATCTCCAACTGTTGGACTAGTTCCTGGAGGTACTGGTCCCAATAACTCAGACTGCTAAACATTAGAGAAATTAAATGCAAACTGACCCACTAGTGTACTTGAAGTTTTCTCCTTTGCATGCAACTAGAGAACACAAGCCAGGTCATGTGTGTTGTACAACAGCTGGAGCATGTGGTAAACAGAATTAGTTCACTTATGACAGTGTGGAATCTATAGATTCCATGAAATCCCAGGAGTGCTCAAAGAAGGCAAGCAAAAAAAAAAGCTTTCTACTAATATAGGATGAAGCCTGTTAGGCTGTTCTTGCCGTGTGTTACTGAGAAGCTAATAATGATAGCAACTTCTGGGCTTGGGAAGTGCTTGTGTCTGACAAAGTCTGACAAAGTCTGCCAGCCTGTCAGTAAGCAAGCTCACTACTTCAAATTCTCATGCAGGATTCAACATCAGTGGTACAACATCTGAAGTAGCTGCAGCTGGAGGAACATCAGCAGCTTGGACTGTTCTTCCTGTCTGTGAGTGCAGCATTCACTAGCCTTTGGGACCCCTTGTGGTGGCAAAGCCACTCTTGTCAGGAGCTTGGCTTGACCTTACTCACACTTGCAATCTGTTTCTCTCCCTAAAGTATTGCTGGTGATGGCTGCAGTGGCTGGCTACTTCATGTGGCGTAACTGGCAGCACAAGAACATGAAGAGCATGAATTTTGATAATCCTGTCTACCTGAAAACTACAGAAGAGGACCTCACAATTGATGTTGGAAGACACAGCAATCTATTAACATGTCTGAGGCTTCAGGTTAATCCTCAGAGTAGATATAAAGACTGCCAAACGATACCTGGCTTGAGTTTAGGAGAGGTCTCTGTTCTTGAAAGCTGCTGGCTGCAGCCAAACCACTGGGCTGAATCCACTGAGAACCTGTCCTTTTAATCAAGGTTAAAGTTGTAGTAGGCCACTACTGTCCTATACCTGGGATGGAGTAATCAGTGCTGGATGTGGTCACTAGCCTGCAGACCTAGCCCTTGCTTCAAACTGCCATGTAGTGATGATATGCATTGTTCTGTATCTTTTATTAGTACAATTGTAGCTAACTTGTACTTATTTTGTACAGATATCTGTTGTAAGCACAGATGATGATATGGCTTGAACACTGGATCAGCAATTGCTTCCGGTTTACTTGTGTTTTACACTCTTTGGGGATAGTAACCAGGTTTGTGGCTGAAAGACTTCCTCCATTCTTGGAAGAAAGAAGATACTTTCTGTATGTATGGAACACTTGTGTAAATAGCTATTTTATACAGCTTAACAACAAACTCTGTAAATACCTGTCCACAACAATTCAGCTTTTAGTGGTTACTGTTTTATCAGTAACCCTTGGATTGGTCAGTCAGTAACACCACTGACCAAATATAAAGCACTTTCCTTAGAAAGCCATATTCCAGCCACAACTTGTAACACCTGTACATATGTGTATAGGCCACTTGTAAATATTATTCTTGGAAAATCACTATCAAGCACTTTGAAATACTTCAAATGTAAATTATTGTACACTGTCTTTTTCAATGATTGGGGCAATGGCAATAGGAAAAAACGGGTTACTATGATTGCCAAAAATTTGTAAACGTAACTAATTTTGTATGTATCATTGAAAAAATCTTGTCTGTCACCTTTTAGAGGTATACAGGTATGAATGCTCTTTAAGAAACTACTGTAAATCTTAAATGCAGAGGAGGGGAAAAATAAAAAAAATAATTAAGCAGTTAAAGTATTGGTCTCCATTATTATGTTAGCACTGAAGTAAAATGGAGTTATCTCCTAAGTTGGCAGCTTTAGTGGTCTATGCTACTACTGCCAGCCAGAACATGAAGTATTTCTTAAGTTATTTCAGCAGTATCCCAGACTGCTAAGAGAGTACTGACCTGCCAGGTGACTGAGGTTTGTACTTGAAACTAACACTCTGCAGGGTACTGGACTGAATGGGTCTCCTTTCACAGGAGTCCAGCTGGACTCCTAAGTTAGGATTGACGGTGGCTAAAAATACTCAACTACTATTGCAAGCTCAGAAGAGGTAGCATTGACAGATGCTGCATGGAGACAGGGCAAAGCATTGTCTGCCAGGTAAGAGTAAGGTCTTTGCAAAGGATGTTATGCACAAGTTCATAGTGGTGTCAAGCCATTAGCAGTTATTTGTCATGGCAATGCCAGTGCAAGTTGGATCTTTGTAGCTGCTACACCTGTACAAAGGAATAGCAGAGCTGTGACTTGGCAGCTATTCATGGCAGCCTGCTCCTGGAGTCTCGGTCCTGAGAACCCCCTGTTGCTACATATGTAATGACAGAAGTCCTCTGCAATGGGCATCAATGAACTAGTGTCCCCTTCCCTGTGGGTACTCAGTTCATTGTAATGGCTCGAAGATACTGATCACTTGAAGTGCTGGAGCCTTTCTCTTGGGTGACCATAGGAGAGAAAAATAAATTGTACAACTGTTCTGGGTCTGAGAAGGTGGTAATCATATCAATGATAACTGTTTAGTACCATAATACTTGAGTGCTAATTTTAGTAGCACCAATTATGTTCCTTATCCAATCTACATCTATAGTTCATTGATGCAATAGAGAAGGATTAAGACTGAATTAATTTGCAGGTTCTGTGCTCTTCAGGCATTTTGCTCTGTGATCAAGTTTGGAGTAAAGAAAGAGGAAGCTTTTGATCTTTATGGGTTAACTACTTGGTAGTGTCCAACTGAGTAAAAGGTAGTTTCCCTAGCCATTAGTAGTTTCCTTAATGACAGATTATTTTTCTGGTATAAAGTCAGGGTTTCTCCCCTGACATTGCAGGATCTTGGCCTTGAATTGCCACCCCATAACTACTGTAGCAGGATGTGCTACTTCACTATTGCTAATACTTCCCCCTTAAGGTGAAGAAATAATTACTTCTGATTGGATGCAGGTTTCAAGGCTAAGACATAGTCTGGAAGAAGTGAAAATCTTCTGGCTATGCTTTAGTGATGACTTGTTAAATCATTCTCAATCAATCATGTGTCTAAAATAGTAACAATAAAAATCATTGAGTCAGGACTTGGATCAGTGCCTGGGTTTGGTTCTAATGCCTGTTCTCATTGCAGTTACAGTTGGGGTCTGCTCTCTTAATGGTCTTCTGTGTGTTGTAGACTCCTTTCTTGACAGATGAGGACAGCTGCCAACTTCTGCAGATTTAAAATAAGTTGTTTCTAGCAAGCTCACTACTCTTTAGGGAGTTGAAGCTTCTAGCCAGCTATCCCTGGCAACTCTTGTCTGTCTGTAGACACTTTCAGTATCTGGAATGCATATGGACTAAAGTGTCTTGTGAAGATTAGGATGTAAGGAGACCTCTGAAGTTTCTGGCCAAGAATACTGTATCTATTTCACTGAGTACTTTCTGGGATAAAGAGCCTTTCATATCAGCCTAATATGTAAAGATTATTAGTTATTGGACAGAATTCAGCTTTTTCATTTAGATGTCTAGCTTAGGATACTACAAAGTATTTGTGTTGAAATGTGACAAAACCTAAAACACAATTCTCAGCTTGTTGGTTATAAATTTGCGTGGCAGCTAAATACAGGCAAAATGCTCTGCCTTTTTAGTCTTCATACAGAAGATAAACAACTCTACTTTTTTGCTAAAGTTCATTGCTGTCACCAGTATCATACCAAATGGCATATGGAGCAGACCAATGAAGACGCTTCTTCCTGATGTTAACATTCCGTTGAAGTAGCAACTTCAATCTATTTTGGGAACCTGAGTTAGTTCATACAGAAGCTGTGGAATCTGGGAACTTGTTTTCTGACTTTAGTCCAATGTGTTGAACGGAGTTGTCAGAATAGTACCTTGGCACACAGAAGTAGTTTCTGTGGTCTATAGGAGACTTAATACTTTACCAGGTAAAACTTCTATGTCTTCAAAGAGCAGGAGGGAGAAGGAGTGGGGAATATCAGGCAGTAGCAGGAGATGATATAAGATGGTCTGTACTTAGTTGCAGATGTTGTTTGGCTCTTAATCTCACTAGGTTTATTCTGCCTTGCTCATCTTCATTTTTGTATTATGAAATCGTTGTTTACTTCCACAGCAGGCTTGGAGAGTAGTCAGGGATTCCTTCTGTAAAAACAGATTCAACTTGCATACACAAATGCCTTACTATCTTTGAACAATTTTTTTCCCCTGCCATCTGCAAGTGTTTGACTCTGTTTTATTGCTCTGTCATGTGACTCTCTTGGCATCTAATGAAGGAGGTATAGCTGTACTGAGCACTCGTGCAGCAGCAGGCTGTGGCTGTGCTGGTGGCCACTAAATGAATTCTCAGAGATCATCCTTGTCTCAATTCCTCTGCTGCAATCTCATAGGCTCCCGGAGCAATGGGACATTAATAACCTGTTTGGTCAGGTTTCACTATTAAGTTGGCTTTGTATTCCTCTTGAAGAACTTGCTGCTAATAGATACATAAATATGGCTTTAGTTGGTTATTGAAGTACTGTTGAAGGTAGTGGCATAATTTTTTGTTTCCCAGCTGAACGCAAAGCCCTCTGGTTCTAAATACTGCCTACTTCTGTTCAGTGTCTGCTAGCCAGTGTGAGTGCAAAGCTAGTTTTGAAACTGGCTTTTTCTCTCCCTTACAAATATTCAAATTTCTCAATACTGTCCCTCTGTTCCACTCCCACATTCTTTTCTGCCTCCTATTTGATCTGTCTTTGAGCAATAATGTAAAATATCTACAATGCCAGAAAAAAAGAGGAAAATGAACATAAAAGGAATTGAAGTTGCTCATGTGATTCACTTCTCCCCCTTCTGCACCTCATTCCTCTACAGATAGCTGCAGTGTGCCTTTTCCCAACCCAGCTTGTATTTGCTTACATTTTTAGTGGACATACTTTTTTTTTCCCATCACATCCTTGCTGAAACAGTGAAGATCCATTTATCTGTTTTAGTTAGTGCTGAATCTTGCTAGATTAGGGAAAAGGGACAGAGGCAAGGACTCAGGCTGGGAGACCTTAAGCGAAGGAAAAAAGCTTACAGCTACAGAAGCACTCTTCACTCCATAACCTTGGATGCAAGTGAAGGCCTGCCAGTACTTTCTGTAGATATGCCACAGCATGTCTGTGAAGAAACATGCTGCTATTCCTCCTTTGAGCTGTCTCACAACAATGGTTGGTATTGTCACTTACTGGAAGAAGGTGCTTGAAGAGATCTGCTCTGTTGAAGTGCAGAAGCCAACTTAATACCTTCCTGGCTTGCTGGTTTTCACTTTTTTCCTCCTGAAAAAGCTTCACAATTTGCCCATGTCAAATGAAAAAGTGTTAAGAGCAGGGGAAGGACAAAGAGGTGGTGAAATCACAGTTAGGCTGCTGAATATCTAGGCTGTTGAACATCCAAAATAAAGACTGCCTGAAGAAAGGATGATGGTCTTAATTCTCCCTTGCACAGCCATGGTCAGGACACTTACACACATCTGTCAAGCAATAGAAAATGCTTCATATATGTGGGGGAAAAAAACAAGCATCGCAACCTGAACAGACTACTGAAGGCTAACTTAACTAAGATGGTCTTTGGTCTATAATGAGTTGCTTGAACATAGGAAATGCTAAGCAGTAAATCAAGACAAATGCCTACTAAAACCAGATATTTAGTAGAAACATTTTTTTTCCTGTAGAGATGTCCTCTGTAGAAAACTAAGCAGTTTTCAGGACCTTTTCCCCCATCTTTCCTAGACGTGCTTTCTTGGAGTCAAGCTTCAAAATACATGGAAATGGAAATGTTTTACTCCACTGTCAGTGCATAGATTTAAAGCTCAGATAGTTGGATAACAACTTGAAAGGGTTAACTTAACATTCAGCACAGTTGTTTCCCTCCAGTGGAAAGTATTTATTATTGGAAGGTTTCTTTGAAAGGCTGATCATTGAATGCAGCAAATGCTGTAACAATCTAGAAGCAGTGCTGCCTGCTATAAGGTCCCTTTTGTGGATGTGTGCAAGTGAGAAGTGGTGGTTTTGTTTGTACAACTTATTGCTTATTCCTTTCTTTGGTCCTTAAATATGTGAAAACTCACTTGTCCTTTTAAATTAAGACTTAGACTTTCTGATTCAAGAAAGTTAACCTGTGGTTTGGTAGTTGTAT